CCAAAAAAAAAAAAAAAAAAAAAAAGCGGATGAAACCCGCTCAGCTGCGGTTAGAAGAAGAGAAAGCCCTGGGATGGGCGGAGGCGACGGCCCCATGACAACATGAAGGTGCTCAGTGCTGCTGAGGCGTGCACTTCAAAATGGTAGGTTTTATGTCCCGGATCTTTTACCACGATGACAAAAGGTGAGTCAACACAAATCTCCTAGAGCAACTATTTTCACTACTACTAAAAATTGTGAACTTTGTAATTCAAAGTCTCTCAGGGACTCCATTTAGTCACAAGGCTTTCCAGGCGTCAGACACTTGAAAAGCGGACACAGATCATAAAAATCGTAGCAAAACGGGTGATGCTTAGGCAGGATCCACTGCATCATTTGTGGGGCCCAGGACAAAGTGAAAATGCAGGGCCCTTATTCAAAAGGCAGGAAAAACGTGCTATGAAGGGTGCTAAGATACAAAACGTGTTCCTTTCTTCTGCCATCTCTCTCTTGACCTGTCATGGTGGTTTTTATCTGCTATTTCATGTCGTGCTCCCCTGGGTGAGGACAGGCCCTCATGCCCCTCAACTCCACACACATGTGCCCCACTGGCCGCTAGCCGCTGACCCACGCGCCACACCCTGCCGGATCCCCTGCACCCACCCACGGCAGATGGGTTCCCCAAGGGATCACATCCTCTGTGCCAGAGGCTCTGGGTACCTGGACCAGGATGGGAAGAGGCTTATTCCTACTGAGTCACCACCGAGTGTCTCAAGGTACTGCTGGCCTGGGGTGGGGACAGATGCCACCGTGCTCCATGTTGTGCTCGTGCCTAACCACGACTCTCCCCACACCGCACCCAGGCCCCTCACAGGCGGGGAGCAGCAGTGGTCATGGAGTGGGAGCTGCGAGGGGAGGGCCAGGTGGCCTAGGCCTCCAGGGGCTCCCAACAGGGACCGTGACAGGCAGCGAGAAGCCTTCAGCGCTGGAAGTGAGTGGGGTCCCTGTCCTAGCAGCGGCCGGGGTGGATGCACATGTCCCAGAGCATAGAGGGAACCCGGGCAGGCGGGTGTGGGGAGCAGAGGAGACCCCTGGACAGCCCGACCCCTCAAGTGACAAAGAGGTCGCTGGACTGAGAGAACCACAGCGACTACAAAGCTGCTTGCCAACGGGCAGTGTGGGGATGCAGACAAAGGAAACCACACTGAATAACTGAAATCAAAAGTATTATAAAGCTACACGCCTGAATTTTATGGATTCAAGTGACTGTGAAATTTAAATAAGTGATATCAGTGATGCTCTTAATCAACCTGGGCTAAACAATGAGTCAAAGAAACAGAATGAAAATGACAGGCAACAAGGCAAACGCTGGGAAAGGCTGCTGGGCCCCTGCCTTTTGGGAGGTTGTCCCAGGAAGGGGCCCCAGGAAGGCACATCTTCCAAAGGCCTTGCGAGTGCTGGTCTTTGCCATGGCATGTCCACTTCTGGTCAAGGGTCAAGGGCCCCTTGACATGGGCTCACGTGGCCACACTGGGATGGCTGCCCTGTCCTGCCATGCATCCCAGGACCCATGTTACAGTGTTACAGTGGTTATCAGTGACTCAGCAGAGACCTAATTCTTACATCGTTACTGCAGCAAAAACTCAACCTGATGTGGGTTTCTTAGAACAAGGACCAAAGTGCTGGATCAGGAAGGAGGGTCAACAGGAGAAGATTCCATCAGAAATACACATGAGCCCACAAGCTCAGAATGTGCTACAATATCCTGGTGCCAACAAGTCTGCAGCACGAAACCCAACAAGACAATCATTCTCTGCGATTCTGCATAAAAACTGTGCCTGGAAGGCAGCTGTGCTATCATCTCTGTGGGAAATTACAATACACATAAAATTGTTTACAGAGAGTAAAATGTTCAAAATAGGGAAGATGGGTACAAGGAACTAAGGCTACGTTTTAAAAAGCCTTCTTCCTTCACCACGGGAACTTGCCCAGCCCCTCCCCGAAGAACTGATGAATCGTGAAACTCCCGGCACTGCTACCCTGAGGCAAGGGCTGGGTTCCACGCAAGAGCTCACTAGCAGTTAGCATCCCTTCCTGGTCTGAAAGCATCCCCCACCTGGCTGGGCTCCTGACACCGGGAAACCCAGGCTGCTCCAAGTGGGCCCTTGTGGTTTTTCTTTTTTTTTTTAATTTTAAAAATTGTGGTAAAATGTACATAACATACAATTGACCATACTAGCCATTTAAGCATACAGTTCAGTGGCATTAAGTACATTCATATTGTTATGAAAGCATCACCACCATCCATCCATCCCCAGATATTTTTTATCTTCCCAAGCTGAACCTCTGTACCCATTAATCACTATTCCCCTTTCCCCTCTCCCAGCCCCTGGTAGGGCTTCTGGGATTTAATGCTGCAACACCCACGGAAGCCCGCAAGTCCTAGGGCTTTCTGGGTTTCCAGGTAGTTAGCCCACCGGCCTGGGGAACTTGGTCTCCAAATGTGGCCCCCGCAGGCCGTGAACTCACCCACGCAGGTCTGGCAGGTGGGATGGCATTCCCCGCACCTGATCAGCTCAGAGTCAAAGTAGGTGCCTGGCTCACAGTCTGGAATGCAGCTGCCCCGTGCAAGGCTGTTGAAAAGAAAAAAAGGCAGTCTTTTATATCCTTTCCAAAGCTCTAATTCAATTATGATTTGCCCTCAAATGTCTTTCATGAGAGGAACTGAAAGTTGCTAAAGCACAGTTCTTGGCGTCACTTAAGGTTCTGAACTAAAAGCGGCAAAGCTGTCCTGCAGCATCTTAAGGCCGGCTGGAAGGGACACCCGGGCCTGGAAGCAGAGTCTCCGCCTTCTGGTGGCCGGTGGTCCCAAAGCTCCTTCCCAAAGCCCCGTGGCCTCGGTCCCTGTGCGGGAGGCCATGCCCTCCACGCCTTCTGTGCTCTCCTGCTCTGTGACACCTTCTCTTCACTGACACCAATCACACTAGAACCCAAGGCCCACGAGGAGAACTCAAGCACGGGTGGGTCACCCCACTGGCTCGGTCTCACTGGGCGCAGCCCTGGGTGAAGCCTTGGCATCTGTGATGCGTGAGGGGGGTTGGCAGCAAGACTGACCCTGAGTCCCAGTGGGCTCCTGCCTCACCCTTGCTGGAAACATTCTGTGCTTCACAATGAACCTGAGATAAAATCCGCTCCTGGGACGTAGCAGCCCTGCCTGCTGTGGCTCTGGCCTTCCTCCCTCACCTCGCTCGGCCAGGCAGCAAGCACACGGCTTCTGGAGCAGACCCTCTGCCCCTCCCCATCTGCGCAGCCCCAACCCCGGGCAGGCCAGCCAAGCTTCCTGCCCCTCCGTCCCCTCAGCTGTCCGTCAAGGCTCCTGCGTGGTCAGGTTACTTTGAGGACAGAACCCTGGCAGGTGTCAGGCACCCAGCAGTGTGAATGGGTGTTGGCTGCCATGGCCGCTTCGGTTCCCAAGCTCACTGCTGCACATGTTGTAGGTGGATCTGCTGCCTGACACATCAAACATGTGCCCCAGGGTCTGTGAGATCCAGAGGCTCCTGCACTTGGTGGGGGGACGTTGCTGGGGCTGAAAGCATCTCTGTATCAAGGCGGAGGCCGACCCCAGGGCTCCCTCTCTTCCCGGCCCCCAGGCCGCTGCACCAGCTGTTCAGTCAAGTCTTTACTAATGGATGTTCCCAGCCTAAAGAGATGGACGCACGGCTTGGCCGCTCTCACTGCTTCAGTGGGACCGATGATTTGAAGCCACAGCTAAAGAGGATATTGGGCAATAAAAGGAAGCTTTCTGTGGATTACGGCTGATGATGTTTCAGTGTCCGCAGTCCTCTGTGAGTGCTCATCATGGCTGCACCGCTGCCTCCACCTGGGGGGCTGCTGCCTGAGAGGCATTTTCTCCCCAGGACACAGCTCCTGGCCTGAGCATCTGACCTCCTCTCCCCTACCTGACCCACAAGAGCAGGGATGAGCCGCCCCCTCCAGCACATCCCCACTGGGAAACAGGCTCCAGGGAGCTGGAAACACAGTGCCTCCCCGACACCCTGAGTCTCCGGCCTGGGTGGGGGGCCCTGCGGGAGGGTCTCCACAGCCGAGCTCCCAGGCCCCAGTGGCGGCCAGCTGAACCTCTCCGCCTTTCCCTTCTGGGGCTCCCCTTCCTCCACATGTCACCCCTCCACTCCTCATCCTGCCTTGTCCAGCTCCCTGGTTCAGAGGGAGCTTCCCTCCCCTGACTCCCAGGAACGTGGGGCAGTGGACCCTCTTCTCTCCGATCCCCGGTCCGGAGGGCGTGGGGCAGGCTCGGGGAGCCGTAGTCACGCTGCTCCAGGAAACTGCTCCTCCCCGTTAGTAAAGTGTGAAGGATGCCATATACGTCACATACGCCATAGGTTGCCATGAAGATTCAATGAGGCAGTATTGGTGACAGCAGCTGGAGTAAAGTGCTGGTTTTCTTCCTCCACTCCTTACTGCAAAAGAATTCAACCCTGGGGGGTTGAATTTGAGGGGAGGGGAGGCTGCAGGAACGGCAGCATCCTTGTCCCCTGGGGGCCAGGTAGAAACACAGAGTCACAGAGCTGCTGGGTCAGCACCTGCA